GCCACCAGTGATCGGAGTGTGATCAACCTCGTACAACATATGCTGTTTTCATATGTTCGCTTTCAATTACCCAGTGTAAATAAATTGATGACGACACAGAAGAGAGACCACATGAAAGAACAAAAAAAAACCTTGTTATTTCTTGTTTATTCAATAATTGCTTTGATATACAATATGTATTTTTAGATTTTGAGTTTTGTGTGGACGTGTTAGGTGGTACAAGAAAGCCATACGCTATTGGAGTTTGGCGTGATACACTATGTGATGAAATACAGGGCTATATCTGCGAGTCTGGGCAGATAGGTAGAGTATTGGTGATCTCTACGCATGCGTAATGTTATGCATCCGAAGTTTAATGGTGTTGTTTTTCCTCGGCCGGTTTATTATTTCATTTCACTTGAGACATTTCGAAATTATGCATGCATGTGCATTTCATGTGTGTTTATCAAATGCAGCCAGCGCGTTTACGTATAACCTAGTTCCTCTACTAATGGGAGATAGAAACGCACGAAGGCGCCCTCTAGAGGACAAGATCGGAATAATTTTTATATTCTAACACCAGAAATCAGGTTGTATATCAGTTGCTTCACCTTGTTTCCTCTAGTGACGAAGCACTCCTATATAGTTTTGATCTGTAATAGTTTTTCACGAAATACTGCACAACCGAACACAGTAGTTGATTTGAACAATGCGTTCACCAATATTCGTCTTTTTGACGTCATAAAAACGTTACATCGCTAGAAGGCGCGATTTATGAGAATTAACCACGCTAAAGAACAAATTGAGTGCATTACGCGGTATCGCCGAAAGGAGGCGCGATTTCACACTCGTGACGCGCGGTTGTTGTCTATGGCGAAACTTGTAAACTCTTGAAATTTCATTTTTTACGTGAATTACTTTTCTGAGAACCATTCAGCATTTATTTATTTCAAGAATGAAACGTATGTAAACCAGGCGAAACATATGTTTTATTTCATTTGCATGATTGAAATGACCACTTGATACTAACCTATTTAAATTTATTCAAAACAATAAAATCAATCTCTCAGAAATTGATAATGATTTTCAAAGGGTTCGTGAATGGTGCAGTGCTAACAAACTTACTATTAATTCTGAAAAAACCAATTACATGATAATTAAAACACCACAACGATCGGTCACTACTGAGGGCAGCCTGGAAATTAACGGGTCACCGATAGAGGGCGTATATGTTGTCAATTACCTTGGTGTCTCCATTGACCAGAATATGTCATGGAAAGCCCACATTGATAAAATTTGCAAAGTTATCGCACCAAAAATTGGATTAATTTCACAACTACGTCATTTTGTACCTAGGAATATCCTAATTCTCTTATACAATTCCTTAATTCTACCTCACATTACATATTGCCTGGAAATCTGGGGTAATACATATGCTACTCTACTGCAACCAATATATCTCTTACAGAAAAAAATAGTACCCCTCATCACT